GTCCCCTCAACCTCTGGCACCACCAAACCATAGAATCACAGAATCCCAGGATGGTTTGGGTGAGAAGGGAACTTAAACCTCGTCTTGTTCCACCCCCTGCCATGGGCAGGGACACCTCCCACTAGCCCAGGTTGCTCCAAGCCCTGTCCAGCCTGGCCTTGGACACTTCCAGGGCTGGAGCAGCCACAGCTTCTCTGGGTAACCTGTGCCAGGGCCTCCCCACCCTCACAGGGAAGGATTTCTTCCTGCTAACTAACCTAAAGCTTTCAGCTTAGAACTATTCTCCCTTGTCCTGTCACCGCTTGCCCTCACAAAACCCCCCAAGTCCCCACCAGATCTCCTCCCAGCCCCTTGCCCTCACTCCATTTCTTCCTGGCAGCTGCTGGGATCTCATCCAGGACATGCCCAGAGCCCTGGGCTGTGTGACAGCACCACACTCTCCCGGCTCCATCACAGGCTGCACATCCCTGGGAGATTTGGGAGCACACTGGAGGGCAGCTTCCCTTTGGCTGGCTTTGGGACCAGCCAGCCTGAGCCAGTGAAATGCTCGTCTGTAAAGCAGCACCCTCAGCACAGGCTCGTTTGCACCTTGGTCCCCAGCCCATCAAGGCCCTCGTGGGGTGGCTCCCCTCAGCTGACAGAGGAAGAGAAGTGTCAGCTCAGGGGGAGCTGTGCCGTGCTGAGGAGCTTGGGGGAGGATGTGGCAGCTGTCAGGAGCTGGCACATGGCTTTCTAGGGATGGCCTTTGGATATTTTGCCTTATATTTCAAGTCAATCATGTGGCCACGAGCAAGGCCCCCCATCCCCTGGAACAGGGGGGAGAGAGGCACTGACATGGATCTGACAGGGTGGGTGAGCTGCCAGCAAGCCTTGGACAGCAGGGGAGGGAAGGGGGAGCTGGGAGGGAGTTTGCTCCCCAAGCCTTGCTGGGATGGGAAGGGCTGAGGTGAGGCTGCCACCTCTCAGCCCTGCCCAGTATCCCCTCCTTCAGCCAGAGCCAACTCTGTCACTGCCTGTCCCCTCTCCTGGGCTTGCAGCTGGCACACACAGCTGCTTCCTGGCTGGGGAGTCTCTCCCTCCTCCAAAAAACCCCATATTCAAACATTTTGCTTATGCGTGCAATGACAAAATAAGAACATGCATCTGTGTCTCTGAAAACATTTCATTTGGATGGCTTGTGTTGGAAGCCAAATGTTCTCAACACTTTGGTGGGGTAGGGACAGGCTCCCTTCCACATCATGCACCCACAGCCCAAAAACGAAGGTGTTCAGGTGGAGAAAAATGCTATTTTAGGAGTGTCTGCAGGTCCATGGGAGCTTTGCTGTAGCCCAGCAGCCCGTGCCAATACCTGCTCTCCTCATGTTGTGCAGGAGTGGACGTGGTCTCTCCTTGGCTGGAGAAGGAAGAGCTGCCAGCATCCAGGCTCAGGTGTCCAGCAGGGCTGGGGGCTGATCCTGGGTGCAGAGCGACCAGAGATGGTCCCTAGAGTGGCTGCTTGAGTGTCTCAGGAGGGTCCTTAAGGCTGGGCTGAGCTCCCCTGGTCCATCTGTCACCCACAACATCATCACCTGCCCCTTCTTTGGGCTCAGCCCGTTTCAGACTCTGTTTTGTTGACACGTGGTACCTAAAGCTGGTGGCTCCCGAGCAGAGCCTGGGCTGGGCTGGTGCCTCTCCCAGGGTGCTCCCGGGTGCAGAGCCCAGGAAATGCTTGGCCATGCTGTCCTGTAGGATTGCTTCAGCTCACTGCTGGGTTTGCCTTCACATGGTCCCTTCCCTGTGCCATTCCCAGACTGCTAATGAAGAAAACAGAGCCAGGAGGAGCCCTCAGCCCCCTGGGCAGCCCAGCCCTGCTGCCGGGTAAAGAGTCAGGAGACATCCTGCTGAGCTTCTGAGCACCTCCTAATGCCAGTTCTTTGACTTCTCTCCCATCCACGTTTCCAGAATTTACCTGGGAGAATATCCAGAGAAACCCTGTCAAGAGCCTGGTGCATATCTGGGAACGTGACCCCGCCTCTGCCAGGCCACTGAGGAATTGGGTTGTGCGAAACACTTTGCTTCTGACAAACCAGGCTGGATGTTACTCATTTTCTCATTATCTACTACAGACTTGCAATAGCTTGTTTGATTATTGTTCCAGAGCTGTTCAGGGAATCAGAGTTAAGCTGACAGGAAGGGAAGTCCTGGCTGTCCTTCCTCAAAATTGCACTTTCCCAACCCCAAGAATTCCAGACCACAGACTGTTGCAGCCCCAGATGACCCTGACCCAGCTCTAAGTCCCCCTGACCTCACTGGCTTGGTTGCTTCTCCTGTGCAAGCCTGAGAGCTTTCCCCATTGCCACCCACCCTGGTGGAAACATCTCCTCCTCCAGCAGCCCCTCACAGAGGGACCCTCAGACACCCCAAGAAAAGATGCAGCATCTTGTGTGGGGATACAAATGGCTCCTGTCCTGCTGTGCCTTCACCCATTTTCTGGGACCTCAGCACATCCTAGGAAGGGAAAAAGCAGGTTTTTGCTGTGCTACCATCATGATAAGCCCCATACTCCCCTGGAAACTCACAAAGGCCCTTGGTCAGGTGTGTGGTACCCCTAAAACCACAATGTACTGAGCATCTCTGCCAAGGCAGGTGTCCTCTGCAGCACCTGGGCAGGACGGATGAAGGCTGGAACTGTCTAGAGTCCACCAGCAAACTGTGTCTTATCAACAATGATGGTACATCCTGTGCAGAGCAGAGGGCAGAGGAGCAATGGGGTTCAGCTGCTGACTGTGGAGGATGAGCTGCCAGGGTGGGATCATGGCCCTCGCCACCCTCAGCCAGGGCAGGTGAACAGCAGAGGCCAGGGAGAGCTGCAGGGAGGGCAGGGCAGCAGAGCCTGCAGGGCTGAGAGGTCTCCCCAAAGAGGGCTGGGTTTGGGGGCTCAGCAGAGGAAGAAGCAAGGCTGGACCCACCTGGGCTCAGCACCCTGGGCTCAGCACCCTGGGCTCCTCTGCCCATGGGCGGAGGCAGGAGGAGGAGGGCACGAGTGGCTGTGCCTGGCCAGAGCTCCCCAGCAGTCCTGCATCACCAGGACACAAGAGGGGGAGCTGGGAACCACCTGTGGGGGATCCTCAGCCTGCTCTGAGGTCCTTCCCTCTGAGACAGGTACCCACAGGGCCTGGAGGCTGGGACAAACCTGGCATGTGTGCCAATGCTGCACTTCAGGGGGATCCTTCTCCCCTCCGCTCTCTGTCTTTGAGGGATTCTTGTTTCCCAGCCGTGCCATTTGGCCTGTCCTGGGTCCCTGCCAGGACACAGCCCAGCCCCAGCAGCACTACAGCCCTGCTGTGCTCCCAGCTGGGGAGCTGCTCCCTGCCAGGACCTGCTGGGGGCTTGACTCAAGTGGGGTGACCTCCCTTCCACTTTGGCAGACTGCAAGGGTGGTGGGAGCAGCTTGCCTTGACCCAGCAAAGGGGCCAGGGCACCAGGGGCCCTTCCTGGAGCCATAAACTCACTGGGGTCCCTTTGCCCTCCCTGTGCCCCCGTTTCCCCACTGGCATGATGTGGGCAATGAGCTGTCCCGAGGGAATGGGGAAGGGTGGGACCTTTGCCTGTAAAGTCTTTGTACCAGGCAGAGCTGAAAGATGCATTTTTATGTCACTAAGGAACCAAAAGCTGAAGAAACAGAGGTGAGACAGGGAGGTGCATCAGCTGCAAAGGGGTGTCATCCCTCCAAAACATGGGCAAACCACTGGGGCAGACCCTTCCTGGAGTGAAGGGAGCCCTGAGATGAGCCCCCCGTGCAGCTGGAGGGCAGGAGAAAGCCTTGCAGGGACACACAGTGCCCAGTGTGCTCAGCTCGTCAGAGGGAAGGCCGAGAAGTGTTTTGATTGCAATGTGTAAGTGCCTTCATGGGGATAAAATCCAGGTACTAGAGGGCCCTTTAATCTGGCTGTGAAAGACAGACCAAGGACCAGCAGCTGGAAGCAGATCCACAGGAGTTATATTTAGAAAGGAGGCATGTTGTTAATGGAGGCGGAGAGAGGGGATGGAGTGCCCAGGGATGACTCAGACCAAGGCTGGGCCCTTCTTGGCAGAGGAGCTGAGCCGAGCCCAGGTCAGGAGGGTGCAGGGGGGCTGAGGGTGAGGCCTGGCTGGTGATGACAAGGCAGGGTGGCCCCATCACAGATGGGGAAACTGAGGCACAGAGGGGCAGATGTCTAAAAGCCAAGCCCATGGGCTGGGCAGGGCGGGGGGTTTGCACACACAGATCAGGTGTCTGTGCTTAGGTGTGTCCCCCAGCACGTCCCTGCTGACACCCAGTGCCACCTGGGGCAGCCCAGGGTAGCCCACCTGGCTGCCACCTGTCACGCCAGAAGGGCACAGGTTTCCCATGGATCCTGTATCACATCTGCCAGCCCTGTGGAGATGTCTCAGGTCCCCCCAGAGCTTCTTGGATTGCACCAGGCACCTCTGCTGAGGGCCGAGTTCCACCCCTCGTTTGCAAGCCCTGCTTTCGGCACAGTAATTATTGGCACAGACACTCCTGCTCAGAGCAGAGACTCCGTGTTTCATGTACCTCTCCCCAGGCACTTCATTACAACAGCCCAACACGAGCACTGCTCTGATCCAGAGCCCCTGGAAGGCTCCCTCCTGCCTCTGGAGGGCTGGTGCTGGGGTACTGCACGTGTGGCCACTTCCCCTCAAGGTACAGACGTTCAGGCAGAACATTTGATACACAGGGATCAGTGACGAGGTGAGTCAGTGCTCAGGTAGCCCTGTCCCCTGCCTGTTACTCAGGGCACTGAGCCCCACAGGGTCCCTGTGGGTCAGGCACTGCTGTGAAGTAGGGTTGGTGGGGTGAAGGTCATCACAGAGGCATCACAGAGACATGGAATGGTTTGGGTTGGAAGGGATGTTTCGTTCCAACCCCATTCCACGGGCAGGGACACCTTCCACTAGAGCAGGCTGCTCCAAGCCCTGTGCAATCTGCCCTTGAACACTTCCAGAGATGGGGCATCCGTGGGATCTGGCTGCTTCTGTCTTTTCTGGTGCTGGAGCAGTAGAGGGAGGTAAAGGCAGAGGTCATGGGTGCTGCTGACTCTGCTTTAGGGCTCTGTTAACTTTAGGGGACAGAACAACCCACCAGTCCCATGCTCCAGGGCAGTGGGCACAGCCCCAAGGCTGCCAGAGCTCAAGGAGTTTGGACAACGCTCTGAGGGACAGGGTGGGATTGTTGGGGTGTCCTGGGCAGGGCCAGGAGTGGGACTGGATGATCCCTGTGGGTCCCTTCCAGCTCAGGGTATTCTGTGATTCTCTGATTCACTTCACTTTGTGCCACTGGAGATCTCAGCTGACACAGAAGGGCTCATGTGAGCCACAGGACTGTTCTGACTCTGTGCTGGAAAGACTTTACCTTTCTCTTCTATGGGAAGATTTCTGTGCTTCGAGCCAGAGCAGAGCCAGGGAAGCAGCAGGAGCTGCACAAAGGGCTGTGCAGTGGAAAATGTGGGCTCGTGGCCACTGACTCACACCTGTGAGTGCTGTGAGAGGCTGTGGCAGCACCAGGAGTGCTCTTTGAATGAGCTTTGCACAGGCAGGTGTGGCATTTACCCATTGTCTGGAGGCACCAAAGCACATGCCTGGCATCTCTGTCCTGGCAGGATTCCCATGGAAGCAGCTGTGTCAAGTCTCAGCTGGCTGTGGAGGGAGATGCCCCCAGCCCTGGCATATCAGCCTGGGGAAGGGCAGCCGTGCCCAGGAGCAGGAGGTGCTGGGAGCCCATCCCTGCCAGAGGAGCAAACTCAAAGGCAAGTCTGATGGAGAGAGGAGATCCTGCTCCTGTGCTGTCTGGCAGCAAAAACATGTGAATGAAGCTGTAAAAGCCCAGGTAACCCCTCAATTTGCCCAGCTCACCAGGGGCTGGCGAGGAGTGGCAGGGTCACGGCGTGCAGGAGGCTTTCCAAAGTGTCTCAGCCACATCCCTGGCTGTGGAACTGGGGAGGCACCTGCCAGCCTGGCTGGGAGCTTTGGGGACGCTGTTTCCTGGCAGATCTCCCTCTGCACAACCTGTGGTGTTGACAAGCCCCACTGAAGGTTGGGAGGGAGCCAGTGTCTGGCTGCCGACCATCTCTCCCCTCCTTGGCTCCCGCAGCACAAAGGGCTGCAAATCACCACTAAAACAGTTGGTGTGTGTGCCTGTGTCCCCGGGGGACACCCCACCCCTTTGTCACTGTGGCACAGACAAAGGTTATGCTCTGTGGAGCAACTTGTGCCAAGCATGTGCCTGTCCCACAGTGGTCCCAAAGAGGTGCCTGGTTTTGGCTGCTCCCTTCATCAGCCTCCTCTGGGAATCCTTGGCTCTCACCCCAGGAAAAAAGCCCCTGTGACTAGGCTGGAAGACAACACTTGCAGGCTCACCAGCCCTGCTGGAGGCCTCTAAACATGCAAGGTGATGAGTCCACCCCAGGGGAAGGTGTGGCAGCCAACAGTTACAGTGGGAAAGGTAACTGTTCTTTAAAAAGAAAGTAAAGGTATTTAATAGATGGTAGAGATAGAGATGTCTAGAACAGCCCTCACAGCAGACCCTGGTGTGATCCTGCACGCCCAGCCTCCTCCAGGCAGCTCTGCCCTCTTCTCTCATAGCTGGTTGTTTTGGTCCCCTGGCTGGGGAGAGGTGAGCCTGGCTGGCTCAGTGACAAGGGCTCCTTCCCAGGGCATGGTGCTACCATCCCCTCCAAAAACACACCCTCTGTCTTCCACTCCAGCCCCGAGTCCACCGCTGTGTCTCCAAGTTGGGTGACACCTCCTGCAGCCATTCCTGGTTAAGTTGTTGGTGCTTTGAGACCCCCCAGAGCAGCCCAGAATGGGAGCTTTGCTCTGCTCTGTGCTGGGAGTGCGGCTTGGGGAGAGCCCCTGCAGAGCAGGGACATCCCGAGGACTGCCGGAGCAGGGCAGGGGGGTTGCACTATTGACCTTGAAAGGTCCCTTTCGACCCAAATTACTCTGTGGCTCTCTGAGTCCGTGCTGGGGGGCAGCAGGACCGGGGGGTGGGTCTGGCTCGCAGCGCTCTCCTGACGACAACCATCTCCTGTGGCCTCTCCCCGAGGGCCCCGTGGCGGTCGGGACCCGCCGGCTGGAGAAGGGCTGATGGGCTGCGGACGGGGCAGCCCGTGCCCAGCAATGGCCAGGGCGCAGGGAAGGGGAACAGCGCACCCGGGGGCCCTGCTCCCTCCTCCCCACACCCAGGAGCCCTTTCCCTCCTTCCCACCGCCGTCCTCGGCAGAGCCGGGGGGCCGAAATGAATCACTGCCCCTTGCCGTGGCAGCATCCCCCTCCCCAGCCCTCTCCCCGGGAATATTTGAACCACTAGGGAGACCGGAATTCATAGGGAAGCTCACTGGCCTTCCTCCAGTCTCATCAGCATGACAATTGCTCTCTCGCCTGCTCTGTTTCAGATCCTACCCTTAACATTTAACCACTCCCCATTAATTTCCAAATTGCCACACACATCGCGGAGTCATTTCTCCCCTGCGCTGCTCTCAATGCCAGGGCCGGGCTATTCCCAGGGAGGCCGGGGCCGGGGGCAGACCTGGCTGCGGACCCCCGGTCCCGGGAGGGAGTATGGGAACAGGAGGAGAAGAGAGCTGGGGACCCGCCACTTGGCTTTGTCTGGTGGCAGACACATGGAGCACATTAGCAGCCTTTCAGTGGAAGTTTGATCGATGGGGAAGGCTTTCTAACTGACTATCAAAGCACGCATGGTATGTGAGAAGCAGACACCAATTAGTGATGTCTTTTTAAAGGCTGCCTTGTTAAGAGGGGAATAAGGGGAAAGAATGAAATTGGCCAGAAAACACGGAGCTATTTAACCTTAATTAGAAGAAAGGTGTGGGCTTTGTGAAAAGGCCATTTCTGAAAGGGGTTTTTCTCTCTGGGCATAAAGAGATCCTGCCTACTTGTTAGAGACTTGTTAGAGTTTATAAGGCTGGGCAGGAGGCTAACTTGTAGAAATGCCTTTTATGCCACTTGAATGTGTGGCTTGCTTATTATAGTCTGCCATCCTGCCAGGGTGGCTGGTGGAGAGGAGAGGAGAGAGCAGCAACTGCCAACTGGCTATAAATTTCATGAACATCATAAATGTAAGTGCTTTCTGGAGAGCTGTACAGATTGCACATAAAAGTCCCCCTTCTGTCCCTGTAAACTAGAAAGAGGGCTTTTTTGGCAAATTAAAAATTGTAGAGTGTCTTCCATGCTGAGCTAGGAAGCAGCCCAGGCTACAAATCCACCGCTCCAAAGTTGCAGCCACGCAGGGAGGTCTCTGGCACCGCCACTCCCACGGCCACTGTGACCCGAGGGAGCAGGACCCGGAGCTGGGGGGCTGCAGCCAGTGCCAACACCTGGGGGGACGCTGTGCCCGTCCCCCGCTGCCAGGGCTCCAGGGGGCTGTGGATGGTGCCACCTCGGTGCTCGCACGGCTGCCAGCAGGCGAGGCACGGCAGAGCGTGTGCTGGATCGCGTGCGGCAGCACAGCCAGGCAGCAGAGGAGTTCTGGGAGCCGTGGGACTGAGCGTCACTCCTGGCTCTTCCCCAGCCCTCCCCATGACCTTGGAGAGCCACAGCACCTTTGGGACTCGGTGTCCTGGCTCCCGGCCGGGCCGGAGCGGGCAGTGCCCGGGCATGGGGCGCGTTGCACGCAGGGCTGGCACAGCGGCTCGGGGGCCGTGTGGCACCGAGCCAGGAGGGCCCTTGGAGAGGGGAACACGTGCTCCCCCCTGCCGCGGACCCTGACACCGGACGCGGTAAATAAGCACAGAAAGAGGCATTTTCCCCGTCAGCTGAACAAGCCCGTGCTTTATCCCCGCACTGCTGGGCTGGGCAGCCCTGCCAGGAACATTCCCAGCCTGCTCCTGGGAAAGACACAGTGCTCGTCCCTGCTCACAGGGCTGTGCCGGCCTCGAGGGTCCGTGTTGGGATGGCGCCTGCTGTCTGCACAGCCCAGCGAGTTCAGCTTCTCCCTGCACGGATCAGGGCTTTTTTTTATCCCCTTGCTGTTCAATAAAGACCATAAATATCATCTAATGACTGTGTGGAGCAGGCATTTAAAGCAGTCGTGGCACACACACAGTGCGATGCTTCCACCAAACACCTGAGTCCTGGGGAAGGTGTTCGTGCACAGGGAGTGGGAGGATGTGCTTCCAGCCCAGGCTGATGGCCACGTCCAGCTCACAGGTCCCCACAGCAGGGAGGGCAGAGGGGCACAGCCCCTCTTTGGTCTGGTTTGGTGGTGTCAGCCATTCCTGCAGAGCTGTGAGGGCTGCAGTGCTTGCTCAGGGTCAGAATTTCTTTTGGAGGTATGGTCAAATGGGGCTCACCAGGAGTGCCCCATGGAGACACAGAGTGATGGAGCCCCGACACCACCCTGTGCCAGTGAGGGATGTTTTGGTCCCCTGAGGCAGCTTCAGCCTTTGTTTCCCACGGGCTGCTCCCATTCAGCATCAGCTTCTGCCTGGAGCCTTGCAGGGGTGGCTGCAGTTTTACTTGGAGGCCACTGTGGGCACAGCTCCCAGATGTTTTGCAGCTTCATTCCACATCATAGAAACCTAGAACATCCTGAGCTGGAAGGGATTCCACAAGGATCACTGAGTCTAACTCTTGTGGCCCTGCACAGACACCCCAACAATCCCACCCTGTCCCTCAGAGCATTGTCCAAACCCTCCTGCAGCTCTGGTAGCCTTGGGGCTGTGCCCACTGCCCTGGGGAGCCTGGGCAGTGCCCAACCAGCCTCTGGGGGAAGAACCTTGCCCTGAGATCCAACCTGAGCCTGCCCTGACACAGCTCCAGCCGTTCCCTGGGTGCTGTCCCTGCTCCCCCAGAGCAGAGATGGGAGCTGCCCCTGGGGAGGAGCTGCAGCCCCCGCTGAGCTCTGCCCTCAGTCTGCTCTGCTCCAGCTGCACACACCAAGTGCCCTCAGCTGCTCCTCATGGCCCCTCCAGACCCTTCACCATCCTCGTGTCTCTCCTTTGGATGTTCTCTAATAGCTTTAGATACTTCTTTTGTTGGGGCACCAAAACTGCCCCCAGGACTCGAGGTGAGGCCGCCCCAGGCCAGAGCAGAGCGGGACAGTCCCCTCCCTCGCCCCGTTCAATGCTGGGCTCAATGTTGGCATCACTTCAGCTCCTTCCTCTGCCACGGAGCTTGGCCTGCCATCACATATCCTAGAGGATCTCCCTGATCCAAACAGAGAGTGTGGGTGACAAGCCCTTGGGGCTCTTTTCCCTTTCTGCAGGGCGCACGTGCCTGAGCTCCCGGGATCAGCAGGGAATTGTGGCTTCAGCTAAATAAGAACCAGGGCTCAGCAAGGCTGCAACTCCAACGTGACAGCATGTCAGTGTGTAGAGGAAGCACCCTCACGCTGAAATCCAAGGAAAAGCACGTTTCCTGGGGCTGAGTGCTGATTTCCTTGCAGCCACCCAGTTTTCCAGCTGTGGCACATCACACTTGGGATCGTTCAGCCAAGTGGGTTTGGGTTTGGGCAGCCCAACTCTCTGTCTGGTTGAGGTGCTTCCCCAGCATGAGACTGGATTTCCCACTGTGTGCTGGGGCCCCGGATCTGCAGGAGGGACTGTTTCTGCTGGGAAAGCAGCCTGTGATCCTGTGATCCTGTGATCCTGTGATCCTGTGCACAGGCACTAAGTCACTGGCACAGCTTCATCCTGAGCCAGCCAACTCTGGGACACAGAGGAGACACAGCGTGGACACAGAGCCACAGCAGGCTGGGGGCCATTCCCAGGTGTCAGGTCGGACTTGGCATCCTGCTTTGAAGCACAGAGAATTCCCTGGACATAGCAGGGACTTGTGTTGTACGTTCCCTGCCCTCAGTCTGCAGCAACTCCCCTGGGCACGTCGGGTTTACCACGGAGCTGAGAGGGTGAGCCCCATGTCTGACCCCGCAGCAGCAAGGCTGGGCTTGTCACACTGGGGCTGTGCCAGGATGTGCTGGAAGGGATCTGGGAGCCCACGGAATATCTGCACGCCCTGCTGTGCCACACACCCCCTGCACCAGCTCCACTTCTGAGCAGCCGAGTGCCAGGGGGGATCATTTCCACCTCCGTGCCGATGCTCCCAGATGCCTCAGCCCTCCTCCCACCGCGGGGCTCCCCCGTTTAACCCGGGGCCGTGCGTGTCCCGCGGGACGAGTGGGTGGCAGCGGCGGGGGAAGGCAGACGCGCTGGTGCCAGCCGCTCCCAGCCACAGGGACGGCAGAGGGTGAGGTCCATCCAGCCCTTCCGGAAGGCAATCCTCCCCCAGTGGGGCTGCACAGACCTGCCAAGCATGAGGGAAATAAAACACGGAGGGCTGCGAGCCCAGCGTTCCGGGTGGGCAGCTGCCCGTGACCGCGGCTCCGGACGGGGCTGTCACCGTGTCAGCCCGTTCCCAGCCCAGGAACACTCTCTGCAGCGGCCCCAGGGGAGCTCGGGTGGCCGTGTGGACATG